GCACTATCTTTCTTACCAGGGTTCCTTCTCACGATTAAATCAAGGAATTTATACAATCCCAATGGGTCCTATATTTTTAAAAAATGACAACTACTGCCCAGCTGGCGTGGCTCGGTGGTTGAGCGTTGACCTATGAACCAGAAGGTCACGGTCAGGGCACATGCCCATGCTGCAGGCTCAATCCCCAGTAGGGAGTGTGCAGAAAGCAGCTGAACTGTGATTCTCATCATTGATGTTTCTCTGTCTCCCTCTCCCTTCCTCTCTGAAATCAATAAAAATATATGAAAATAAAAATGACAACTACCTTGCTTGTAATGCAAATCAAAACTACACAGGTTCTAGTTCCAGATAACAAGGAGTCCACCTGCACCAATATCATTTTCTCCCACTGAGCACTATACAACTTGGTCAAAATGCAAGGCATAGCTGTTTGAGAACTCAGAAAAGTAAATGTCAGGAGGTTCAGAGAAGAGCACCAGAATTTGAAGTACCACTTAGTTGGTGTTGAGTTCTCCATTTTATCCTCCAGGATGCCCCCGCATCCTGCAACTGAATCTAGCACAGCCTGAACTTGAAGTGAGTACTGCGGTGCAGACAGAGATCCAAGAGAAACCCTCTAGTTGTGGCTCCAGGAGCAGAAAAGAAAACTCCTGAGGTTCAGAGGAGTAGAAGAAATACCCTGGTTATTTTTCCAATTGGATTTATTGGGGTGACATTGGCTAATAAAATCATACAGGTTTCATGTATACAATTCTGCACCACATCATGTGTATATTGTATGTGTGTTCACCACCCCAAGTCAAGTCTCCTTCCATCACCATTTATCCCCACTTCCCCTTCTTCTATCTCCCCCTACTCCTCTCCTTCTGGCAATTTCCACTCCCTTTTCTCCATTCTCTCATGCATCGGTCCCCAGGCAATTCTGCAGCAAGGGTAGCAACAGTAGAGTGTGTCCAGCAACAGAAAACCAGAGGAATCAAATCTCTGAGGGGAAGGAACATTCTGGTCCATTTGGTGAAGTCACAGCTCCAAAAGGGCAGAGCCGAACACGGTTGCCTTTATGTTCGCTCTCTCTCTGTCCTCCTGCCATTTGACCTTGGAGGGAGCACAGTCATAGATATGGGTGGTTTCAGGCTGGAGGAATGAAAGGGGAGTTCCAGCAAGCTGAACGTACCCAGAGAGAGTGCAACCCCATAAAACGGTCTGTGATCTGGACTCATATTCTACTTGTACATGCATGGATATGATTCCAATTAGCATATCAAACAGAGAGTGGTGCTGTGGGCAGAATTCATTCTAAGTCTCAGACTGACTGCCAAGTGGCATGCATGTGGGACAAAATCTAATGGCACCTAAGAGAAAGCAGGTTGGAACTTGTGGTCTGAGGTCTGAGCCTAAACATACAGATTACTTACTAAAACTAATATACAAACATTCTTCATAGGATTTAAACAAGACTCAGGGTCTCATAACATAATAGTAAAAATGATCAGGATACTGTTCAAAATTACTTGGCAACACAAAGAAGCATGAAAATCTCAATTTGTATAGGAAAAGCAGCAACAGACGCAGAGAGCACAATGGCACAGATGTTGGAATTATTTAACAAAGATTAAAACAGCTCTTATGAGCAATTTGTAAACCATCTTGAAATAAAACTCAAAATAGAAAATATCAGCAAAGAAATAGAAGATATAAAGGATAATCAAATGAAAATTTGAGAAGTGAAAAAATAACTGAACTTAAAAAATCTTACTGGATGGACCTGACAGAGGAAAAAGATGACAGAGGAAAGAGTCAGCATACATTATGTTAGGTCAATAGAAATTTATTTGAATCTGACCAACAGAGATAATAAAGATTGAAACAAATGAACAGAGCTTTAGGGACCTGTAGGACAACAATAAAAGAGCTAACATACTGGATTCCTAGAGAAGAGGAAAAAGAATACAAGGCCAAAAAATATTTTAAGAAGTAATGGCTCAAAACTCCTCAAATTTGGTGAAAAGCACAAAACTATAGATCCAAGGAGCTGAGCAAACCCAAAACAGGATAAGCCCAAAGAAACCTATACCTAGATACATCATAGTCAAATTTCTGAAAACTAAAGTAAAATAGAAATTCTTGAGATTAATGAAAGAAAAATCACATATTGAATATGGGGGAATAATGAGTTCAATGACCATAAATTTTTCATGAGAATCCATGGAGGTCAGAAGGAAGTGACACATTTTAAATTTGCTGAAAGAAAAAAAAAAGTGTCAACCTGAAATTCTATCTTCACTGAAAAT